CTCTCTCTCTCTCTCTCTCTCTCTCTCTCTCTCTCTCTCTCTCTCTCTCTCTCTCTCTCTATCTCGTCAGCTCCCTTGTTCTTCTTTAAAATCTATCTCACCCGGATTAGGGTGGAGGACACGTACGCGGTCGACAAACATCGATAACCTACTGACCCTGCGTCTTTCGCGAGCCGCTCGAGCCCGTCGCTACTCCAACCCCTTTCGAAGTAAGCATCCTGCTGTCTCGGTTGTTTTGCAGCGTAGATAGATGTAAGCGCGCTCGTGTGTCAATGTGTGTGTTAACGTACATGTGTGCTGATCTAGCGCGGAATGGATGGCTGGGACTCGTACGTGTGCGGGAATCTCAATGCATTCTATCGCACACGTACGCGCGTATAAACAAACACACCCTCTTCTGCGAGGATGCACACGGGCAAACACACGCGAGCAAGCGAGTGAGCGAGCGAGCGAGATTCCCGTTACGAGAATCAACCGCAGAGCGGCGGAGATTCTATTAGCGCGCGTTCGTACAAATTTTGGCTTGTATTCCCATCGGTTTCGTGGTCGCTGCAAACGTCAAACGGGACTTTCCGCGCTCCTGCGGTTTTAGCTCGCGATCTTTCGAAATCGGCAATCTGTCGAAATTATGAGAAACATTTGATTTGGATTCTCGTATCGTATCTCTCGTGGATTCGTTTCCTAAGCGTTTCTCTTCGTTAACATTTCAGTTCATTTCCTCAAGCAGAGGAGCAACTTGAAATTTCTCTACCTCGCACGCTTTTGTACACAAAAGAAAAAGTTTGATCAGATAAATCAATTTCTAGTGAAATATGAACGACACCGAAATTCCGGTTGAAATTACCAGATTTCTGTTCAAGATAACCAGAAATCTTGATAATTTTTACTGAATCATACTTCACCAGAATGGTGCATCCAACCAAACTTTCTTTTCTATGGAAATTCTTCCAAAGAAAATTCTTTCCTGTATGTTTAATCGAATAAACAAATAAATAAATAAATACTAACCAAACATAGATAAAGAGATGTCGCAAAATGCCAGTTGCAAAACTCATTAGACTCACAAGTGAGACAAGAGTTTCGCAATCGATATCTTGCGCGGGCTTAACCTAAATTTGATTGTGCGTCTGTGTGAGAGCAGCCTTGAACGTTTATTCAGTAAATAAATATCATATGACGAGCGACGTCTTCTCTCGAGCACCTACGCAAGGAATTCCCTCCCATGGAGCCGTGTGCATACGTTTACTCGAGGTAACTTGCGCTACCTTCCGCACAAAGCTCGGAGTTTCCACGACGTGAGAGGTACTCAAGGGTTAATAGGTCGCGGCGAGATTAGCGAGTCGAGCTCGTTGCTCGACGTAAATAAAAATCGGGCATCCCTGCGTGTTGCAAGGCCCGTTGCATGAGCCGTGCGGCAACGTGCGCCAACAGGTGCATGCGCAAACGCACGGACGGAACGTCCTCGGCCCTTCCTCGTGGAAGGCCCTCTGGTCTTCGTCGAGCAGCCCTCAGCGCTGGCTAAAGGTGGAAAGCCCAGGTCATTCGACACGCGCCCAATAATATAGGGGCGATCGAACCGGCGCTGCAAGCAGGACATGGCGCATCGTCCGTTAGGGGAAGACATATTGCTCGCCGTGACACGTTTTACCAAGGCGACGGTCTTTATCGCTTTCCGTTTTCTCCGCGAGGAACTATGCCATAAAATTCAATAAAACTTCACGTCGCTCGCATGCGCGTCCCAACCCGTTATATATAATCCGCGTAGGATTATTTTTTAACCCTCTCCCCTCGACACCTCGACAACGGCGAGCACGAAATACACGTAGCGTACACGGGACATGCAAATAAAAGTGCAAACACGAAGAACACAAATGGCGATCGAAGATCGCCATCTGATCGATCGATATAAATTGCAACTCGGCGTTGCAAGTTCACGTCACGTCAAATCGAACAATGGATCTGCTTTCTCTCTCTGTCTCTCTCTGTCTCTCTCTCTCTCTCTCTCTCTCTCTCTCTCTCTCTCTC